GTTATCAAACAGCACTTGTGCCAAATTTGTATTTATTCTTGGCATTAGGATCTGGTGAGTCCTCTCCTGTGGGTAAGTTTTATTGTTGGCTACAGATACACGTAAATGGTTTATTTTTATCTTCTAGCACTCAAAGATGATCATGATTGCCAGGATACATACTGTTGTGTTTTCTCAGGCACCTGTAAAGGTGAGCATGTTTTATCAATTAAATTCTGTGTTTGAATCCACTGATACTCTTAGAAGTGAGTGCAACGCAGGGGTGCACGTACAGGGGTCATAGGGGTCATGATTGCGACCTGGCCCCATGCTCTAGAGGGCCCTGTGGCCCTCCTGTACACCTGGATAGGAGGGGAGGTGGGGGCAGTGGCATGTAGAAGAACCAATCCCCTTCAATTTGTCTCTATGCAGCCGGTGAATGTCCACTTCTCCTCTCCCCCGTGTAGACATTCAACGGCTGCAGGAGGGAATTTTAGGGCATCAGTTGCTCTACATGCCACCCCTGTGGCCTAGCTAGCTTGCCAGTATAGAGGGGTTGATTGTTTGGATACACAGCTCCTACACTGTATGGCACCTCATGGGTTTATGTGCTTTTATACGTTCCACTCTTGTGAGTATCCTTTTGCTATGTTTTGTGCTTTTATTTATTAAATCTTTGGTAATGCACTAGGTGCTTGCTCCCTCCTGTCTGTTCATTTTGTAGCTTTTTAGAACGTCTAGCCTGATACTGTCTGAGCTCTTACCTCACAGAGAAAAACCTTCTTGAACCCTTACAGTCTGGCTTTCACTCACAACACTCCACAGAAACTGCACTACTAAAGCTCACTAATGATTTACTAACTGCTAAAACCAATAGCCACTACTCCATACTCATACTACTAGAACTTTTTTCTCCCTTTGATACTGTTTACCACCCTCTCCACTTTTTTTGAGGAAAAAAAGCACTCCACTCTCATGGCCTCCAAGACTCTGCTCTTTCCTAAATCTTCTCCTACTTATCGCAGCATTCCAGTGTATCCTACAACTCTGTCTCCTCCTCTATACTGTCTATTTCTGTAGGGGTCCCCCAAGGCTCTGTCCTCAGACCCCTTCTACACCTCCTCTCTTGATCACTTGATAATATCCCACGGCTTCCAAAACCACTTCTGCACCGATGAATGGAGTGCTCTACACATGATGTACAGCTTTATCCACCCCGTCAGTACACCTATGCATCCTACATTTCCCTGCTAACCTCTGCACCCATGGTCTCCCCCATCCTCTCCACTAAAACCTACTCTCCCAGCTTAAATCTACATGCCTCCTCTGCTCATCTTTACACCCACCTTCCTTACCTCTGTACATCCCCTCCTTCCTCACCTGTGCACCCCAAACTATAATTTCTTCTCTGACTTCCTCTGCAAATCCCACCTCTTCCCCACTTTTCTTATGTTTGCAGAACAGGATGATGGTAGGCTCAGTGACCACAGTTGCAGGTGGGACTTTCAAGCATGCCCCTGTTTACCTCCCCAGTGGTCATCATCCAGCCACCATCACCTCTGCTGAAACCTTTGGGGGGCATAATATACATGTGAATGCTGCCATTATATTTACATATGAATGCCACATTCGCTCCCAAGTCTCTGAACTGCCTCTGGGGAGGGAGGACTACCACCTCCTCTCCCTGGGCCCCCAGAACTGCTGTGGGTGTAAGGCAGAGGTCTCGGACCCACTGTCCTGTTGCCAGCACTTCTTCTGGGATTAGGAACTCCACTGTATCGGCCTGCTGCTGGGGAGAAGGGCTGCCTGCCCTGGCTTCCTGGAGCTCCAGAAGTGCTGTTGGTGCTGGGCAAAGGTCAGTGGTGCTCTTTCCTGATGCTAGCTCTTCTGGGAAGTAAAATGCAAACTCAGGGGCCTCGCACAAATCCTCCAGGGCCACCAATTGTTCTAGGCAGGGGCAGAGGTCAGCAGCTCTCTGCCTCGATGCCAGCTTACTGCTGGAGGAGCTCACTGGGTTGTACCTCTTTAGCAGAAAAGTCTATTAAATCCCCAGACTTTGGAATTGCTTAAAATCCAGGGAACAGGCTGGTGGCACTTGGGCCCAATGCTGGAGTTTCAGCAGGTGACTCGCAATGCATAACATCCATGGGTGCTGGGGTATACTGTTGAGCTTCATCGAACAGTCTTTTATATGCTTGTTCCAGCTCCCATTTTTGTGTGACTATAAAGCCCAAGTCACTTCTCAATCCGAGCTCACTGGGAAGTTCCAACTCCCTAAAATCTCGGATGTCCAACCATCTCCACTCCATTGCACTACTAAAATGTGGATCCTCCTGAAGCATCTCAAATATCCGCCCCGGGCTGCCGTAGTCATAGCCTTCTATGGGATCTCTGTTCTTTAGCCACGGACACGTGTAGCATACCAAGGCAACATGTGAAAACCATCGTCCACCATTTCTGTCTGGACCAGCCTATCCGTCAACTATCTCTCCTGAAGATGCTTTCCTAGGAATGGTATACACAGGTCCAACTGCAGCCAGTACATATCCATGGATGTAGGCAGAACCTTTCCATAACAGTCTTGCTCCACTTGGAAAGCCTTCATCCAGAGCTCCCAGTAGGTCGCGTCTCTCAATTCCATCATGTCCTGGGCAGAACCAGGCTTTCCGTTCTGGGTGAAACTCTCTTGCATTCACCACTGGAACTCCACTTCCTTGGTGTCCAGCTCTGGGACACTTCTTCAATATCACCGAATACTGGGTCCCGGTAATGGTTTGGTCTGTCCGTAGGGAGGAAGCAGATCCCACCGCTGCTATCAAATGTGACGGACACCCAGTTGGGTCTGTCACAAAAAGGCAAACAATTTGCCCTAGTTCTGATGGTCTTTAAATGTCCTAAAATTAGACTCATTCCTGATAGCTTGCTATGTGAAGTCTCAAACCAGTATTTTCAGCAGATCCCCAAACACAGGAAATATTCCTTTGTTTTATAGATTTTGGGAGAGTAGAAAGCTTAGATGGAATAGTTCTCCACAGTTGAAATACCAAGACCACTCTTCTCTTCAGCTCAGTAATCAAAGAAAGGAAGAGCATGTTACACGACTCTCCCCAAATCCAACAATCCCCTTTGATTGAACCTATTTGAATAAAATTACCATAACAGATTAATGTGTGGATTTACACACTGGGCATAAGAAAATGCTGTTTCTACAGGCATTTGCATTTTTTTTTTCCTCAGTCTGTAGAAATAACACAGTTTTTCAGGCAGAAAAAATCCTAAACATGCATTAACGGGAATAAATGCGGATTTTAGGAGCATTCAGTGTTTTCAAGTGTACATTGAAAAATGATTAGAGGGGAATGTTTTGGTAAAAATTCTTATATAAGCAAATGGCCATAAACTCTCCTATACTCATGCAATACGAGTTACTATGAGCATTTTTTTATGCCGCTTTTCTGCAAGAGGTTCTGGCATTTTTTCTGCTCCAAGCGTGCGTGGATCCTTAAAGTGGTTCTAAAGGCAGAAGGGTGCAGCTCCCTCCATAGTCCCCCCATGAGCCCCATCTCAATTCAGTGATGTGCATGTGAGTCTATCCTCATTGACTCACACAGCAGCGGGATCCTTTGGCTCCTGCTGCTGTCAATAACAGCCAGTGACCAATGAGAAGAGGGGGGTGGGACTGATCCACACTCGGTTTGTGAATTGACAATGTTTGGGAGCTAGCCTGCTCGAGTGCCCCCATAGCCATGGAGAGCCATGGCGAACAAACGTAGCCATCCTCTAACAGGAAGTCGGATCACAGCAGCAAAAAAAAAAGGGATTAGGAGGAGAGCTCTAGAAGGTACATTTTTGAATTAAGAATACATACTTGAATAGAATTTATTTTAAACCAGAGTTTAGTGTCACTTTCATTCAGAAGATGGCAGGGGGAGTTTATGAAAGAGCCAATCCATGCACTTCACTCTCTTCTGACTGACAGCAAAGGGGTTAAATGCGAGCCTTTAATCTCAGGATGGTGGTATTCTAGAAGAAGACATTTAAATATTTACTCTTGAGCGAAATGACATTCTTCTGTATACCAGCCAATTTGTATTGAATTATTCAGATCCTTATCCGCGTGGCTGTACTCGGCACAAGTTCTCAGCAAAGAATGTAACCTGCAGCGTTTCTTCTACGGTCGGGAATCGAACATGTCACAGCAAAGAGAGACGGAGATTCTCAAACAAAACAAAGTAAAAGGATACCTGGGAGGGACCAGAGACACAGACCCACCTGTGTAGAGATGTGTGAAAAAAAAAGTTGATGTCTGAGGTCCAAGGCAAGGGATATAGTGGAGCAGGGTCATCATGAAGGCAGAACTCCAGGCAAATAGCTAATTACATAGATGAGTTAGATATATGAGAGATGTTTTACCTGCCAAAGAATTTATGTTTTGTCCATCAAGTTCTTAATTGCATACACAGCACAGTCCTGCTTTCCAGGGAAGGGAGCTGACCTTGCTCTGCTGCAATTTTCACTTGCACTTACAGGTCCTCCACCCCCTAGAGATGCAGTAGGCCAATGAGGTATTCACTCCATCACTCTGTTTTTTCCTCCTATCAGCATGCTTTTTGCACTGTAACATACCCGACTGTCTATGTGTGCTGCTTCTCACTCCTCCTGTCTGAGCTCTGCTGTACAGGGAATGCAAGAGGTCCATAAACTCAGTTACTAAAATCTTATATAAGCTTTGACATGTTCATGTAATCTCAGAAATTGTTTATTTTTTTAACTGCAGCTTTCATTAAGAGAATCATTGGTGATCCTGCCATGAGGGTCCTTATTTTGGAACTCCCTGTTATGGTGTGCCAACTATCTTTCAATTGTTATACAGTATATATACAGTATATTTGCAGCAACCAGAGAAATGGAAATGGCTACAGCCCCTCAAAAAATATTTAAAACAGTAGCAAATAGGATATGCAGTTGACTAACAAATATACACAGTAGACACAATAGAAGTCAGGGTATACAGTTGGTAACAGGGGCAGACTGACCATTTGGAAATTCGGGCACTGCCCGAGGGCCCGGGGTCAGTAAGGGGCCCCATGAGATGCCCCTGGTACTTTTTTCATAGGCTTTTTTTAGTTTGGGCAAGGACACAGGGGCCCCATGATCCCCTATTGCCCGGGGGCCCCATGAGTTGTCAGTCCGCCCCTGGTTGGTAACAATAATAATAATAATAAAATGTATTTTTATATAGTGCCTTTAAAGGTAGCTTCTCAAAGTGCTTTACAAAAACAAGAGAAACAAAAACACAAGAAAGAAGAGGAGAGTAAACCAATGGTCCAGTGAATGACCCCTAAACTCTATAGAGTTCTGCCTAAGCGACAATGTTACAATAAGGGTCTGCCAGTCTCTATTAAACCCTTTCCTGCCTGGCAGTACTACGGTCGTCAGTTCGAATCCCAACAACGGCACCACCTGCCTGGAGTTTGCATGTTCTCCCTGTGCCTGTGTGGGTTTCCTCTGGGTACTCCGGTTTCCTCCCACACTCCAAAGACATGCCTGGTAGGTTAATTGGCTCCTGTCTAAATTGGCCCTAGTATGTATATGTATGAATGTAAGTTAGGGACCTTAGATTGTACGCTCATTGAGGGTTAGGGACTGATGTGAATGTGCAATATATATGTAAAGCGCTGAGTAAATTGACAGCGCTGTATAAGTACCTGTAATAGTAAATCAAGTGGCCCCTGCGGGGGTAGCTTTATAGGGGCAAAGCTTTCAAACAGGGAAAAACATTTGTAACTACTGAAAACCTGGCTACATATGCATGGATACAGGGCTGGGGCGGACTGACCATTTGGGAACTTGGGCACTGCCTGAGGATTCGGGGTCAGTAGGGGGCCCCATGAGATGCCCCTGGTACCTTTCATAGGCTTTTTTGGGTGTGGTTTGAGTGTGGGCGAGGATACAGGGGCCCCATGATCCCCTATTGCCCGGGGGCCCCAGAAGTTGTCAGTCTGCCCCTGATACAGGGAGTGGCTAAAAGAGAGTGTAGATTGGCACAACTGCAACACAGGGTAGAAAAAAGAAAAATGTAAAAAAGACAATTGTTTAAGATGAGCAGTTCTTTAGCAAACTAAATTTTATGCAGTTAGGGTTTAGATCTGTTTTATTAAAACAATCCAGAAACTAAAAAAAAAATGTACATGCATACTTTAAAGTGGAACTAAAGCCCTATATCAGGTGTCTCACTGGGGAGATTTTGCTCTACTTCCTGTCCCATAACCCCAACAGTATGTAAGAGGAAATATCTCCAAAGTGATTGCTCTTCTATTACTGTTCTGGGGACAACCTAAAATGTGGGATTTTACTTTCACTTAACAGTAATAACGGTCACCAGGACATATAGGGAGAGCATGAATCTCCCTAAACCTCACAGGTGTTTTAAGCCCTTTAGTCAAACTTTAATCCTGTGTATTTGTTGATTCTCCAACCACTTTTATGGCTTTACAATTATAGGAGAAATAAAACAATAGCAACTTTATTGAAGCATTAGACTCAGAGAAAAATAGGTATATTTATGAAATACGTTCACTAGTACTGTATTGCTGTTGTGGTCTGTGTATGAGCGGTTTCCTTTTTTGTTCACAAAATGACCCATTTTGTCCTTTTTATATCCCAGATTAACCACATCAATGAACAGATCTAAAATTAGAGTATTCCTAAATGCTGTGGGGATTCTAATAAACTTCACCAGTAAGTTGGCCATTAATGGAAACTGTGAATCACTCGGGTCCTTCATGTGGACTTTAGGATCATTTTAAGTTCATGAACATACCACGCTGAGGAAATTAACCATTGCTGGTTTTCAAATGTCATTTACTTATTTTTACTGGAGTGGGAGTAAAATTGTAGAAAAAGTTGAAGTTTAAAGTAAAACTCCATGTTTTTTTGTTACTTTAACTAGTTTGTTGGGCGGTGGCTTAGTGTGGGTTGTCAGGACCCAGGGCTAGTCAAGTATTGTTCCCTTCAGGGAACCAGGGAAATGATAGCACTCTGTGAGACCCTTCCACCAAAATATATATATATACTGTATGTAGCACAGACCCCCAAGCCAGTCTCGCTGTTTGTCCCAGGTTCTATTGGATGCACAGCAGCCAGGCACACAGCTGTTTCTCAGACTCTCCACACAATAATCAGATTGAAAGTGTCTTTTTAGGATTTACTGCTTAGAGAACTTGGATAGGGTATAGGATGAGCCTTGGGATACTCCAAACTAATGTAAACTTTAACAAAGGACATTTTCTAGTGGTAGTTAACCTTTTCTAGGTAGGCCTCTAATGTAAGACGATGTGGACACTCAGTTTAGGGGGATCCCATACTGGAAACAGCAACAGTTTCTCACTGTATACATGGATGCCTCCTTCCAGTACCAGCCGGACCTGGTATTGTGAGCCTCCAGGCCACATCTTCAGAAGACTTTCTCTCAGCTGTTCTTACAGCTTTGGCAATAGGCCCTCCAGCCCTCCCTGAAGTGAGACCTTGCTGAACCTTCTACAGCCTTCATCTAGGTAGCCGAGGAGAGCAGAAAATCCCTCCAGGCTGGATCTCTCTCCACCAGAACAAGGACCCTGCTATTCCAGGCTTTTTATGCGCACCTTAGCACCCTGATGTCCACCCTCTCTACCAGTATTTGGCTGATATCGTATGTACTCTCCAGCGCCTCAGGATATGCACAGCCAAAAGGGAGGTCAAGGGTACCAGGACAGCGACAACCAAAGGGAATGTTCCAGGGGTGCAGCCCTCCTCAGACGGGGAAATCAGCCACTGGATAGAGAGAAAACAGGTGGCGCACACACCTAGTGCATTATCCAAGGTTTATTGTAGGAATGAAATAATAAAAACATACTCACAGACGAAGCATGTATCTAAAAAGCATAGAAAAATGACAATGGCCACAACGGCGGGCAAGGTGTTCTCACTGTCAGTGCGGTCAAATGGCTGATTCATTTCGGGGACGAATCCCCTTCCTCAGAGCTGATGACCAACCTCTGATGCTGATGTATGATGTATGGACAGAAAGAGCCTCGCTGTTGATGCCTCAACAGCGAGGCTCTTCTGTCCATACATCATACATCAGCATCAGAGGTTGGTCATCAGCTCTGAGGAAGGGGATTTGTCCCCGAAACGCGTCAGCCATTTGACCACACTGACAGTGAGAACACCTTGCCCGCCGTTGTGGCCATTGTCATTTTTCTATGCTTTTTAGATACATGCTTCGTCTGTGAGTATGTTTTTATTATTTCATTCCTACAGTATTTGGCTGAGGCTGCATGAATATTCGGCACAGGGTCTGCTTCTCCCTACCCACTACATTCCAGAACATACCTGAATGCAAGGGGAAGTAGCTGAACATGCAGCCAGCAGAACCCGGAAGAGCCAGAAGTAATCAAATCCTGTTCTACTGGCTACAGAGGAGCTAAAAACTAAATACAAGCAACCTAACTAGGAGGGTGCTACATATATATGACCGTATAACTGGACCCACACACATCCTAAAGGGGAGAGTAAGAGAACCAGAATGGGAGCATGCACAGATCAATCTCCTGCCTCTTCTCATCCTAAACCCCTTCTAATTGTGCACCCAAGGCAACCGCGCCCAGGGCACCACCCACTGCACTTGGGCCAAGCTGGCCCGAACAAACTATTCCCTTCACTAGTCCTAATGACATTTTGGCCCAAACAAGCTATTTCAAGTAACACAAAACCTGGAGTAAGGCTTTAATCTTCTTATGATTTTTCTTCCTGGCTTCCTCCTTTCACCCGTCATCAACGTGCTAATGACAGTTTTATCTTTACGTTATTAAGTACCTATTTTAGACCCAGTTACATCCTCACTGGGTCTCTGTGTTTTTCTAGCATTGCAGGCAGATCATGGCTGGTGGGAGGGGCCAGAAGGGTGTTGTACATAGCTTCTTGTAAATATCATAGCACCCTGCCTCATACTCCTCTCAAGAGCCCTCAGCCCTGATGTAAGCAGTGGGCTGGCTGTTGGAAGGAATTATGCAAATGCTCAAAATGTCAGTCTGGAGGGGTGGACATTGCTAGTAAGACAGTTTTCGCATGAAGGATGTCAAAGGCGATGCTGACCTTCCATGACTGAAAGAGCTGAAATCCAATTAATTAAAGGGGTGAGCCAGGCACATTCATGCTGGGGAGGAAAGAGCTAGTAGATACTGGATGTCCTCTAGCCAGGAAATGGGACAACTGACTTGATGCAGCTTCTAATGCACACTGTGAGAATCTCACAGTGTGTAGTGAAACCAGTGTACGCAATGTCACACCAGGAGAGGAGCCTGTACAACAGTGCAAGACTGAAGACAAAGCTGGCATTCGACTTTTAATCCAAAGGCCTCACATAGAATTCCAAATCCCAGTCGTAATGTGAAGCCCACTCGGAAATTCAACTCGTAAAATTTATGATGATGAACCTGACCCTTCCAATTTTAATTATCCCTCTCCTATCATTGGTGATTTTAACTCACTGTACACACTTTGGCAACTCTGCTTCAGAGCTGTGTGCCCGTATTATTCCATAAATTAGAGGAGACATTCCTCAAATTAATTCAGCAAAACTCATTAAATGGGAATATTTGGCAGAATTAATATGAATGCTGCTGACATACATCTGGCTTAGGATATTGATACAGAAAAAATGTTTAGTGACAAATGATTTTACATTGTATGGGTGGTTGTGGCTTGGCGGCCTTTGAGGTCATTAATTGCAGGTGCTGTTATTGGAAATGGAAATATACAGCATGTATTAAGTGAAAGCTTTGCTTTGCTTTTATTGCAGTAATAGCTTATTTTTACTTTTTATATTGCTACTATAAAGCAGGCTGAATAAATACACTTTATATGAGGTACAAGAGGATTTGTGTGGTCTTTGTACTACAGAGTTCAATTCAAACAATCAAGGATTTTTATATATGATATATAATATATTTTCCGTAATGAATTCCCTTGTTCACCTTTTGCACATATACAATAGATATACGTAAATGGATTAAACTGTATTTCAATCCAATTTCTTTTTTTGCTTTGTTTTGGATGGCATAAGGAATGGGTTAGACCCCTATTAGTTTTTTTTTTTGGCTGCCTGTGTTACATGTCAGAGATTTTCCTTTGTTACCTGAGAGTGGGTACTGACCCCCAAAA